GTGGGCTTGGCTGGCGGGATTTCACCTAATGGCAGTCCCTAACCTCCCTGCTTGCTAATTAATGGCTTCACTGAGGCGCCACGCCTTCTGTAGCCGCAGGGCAGGCTGCGCGAATCAGTTGGCCTGSATCTCCCGGGTCCTGCTGCAGGCTGTTGGGATCTTTACTTTCTATATGTTATAAATTTGCCCAGCTTTTTGTTTACTTGTTACAAATTATTAATGTTTTTATCTTTAAAATCCCTTACCTGTAAAGAAAATATAGTTTGGTGCTTGCTGTTTTTCCAATTAAACAATCTCTCCACAATTTTTTTATGAAATAATGAGATATTTATTAGGGAAGGTAGATTAAAGGGTATATATTAATTAAAAATTACAGGGAAAAATTCCAATTAGAAACATTAACAATTTACAAATAATATTAATCAAAGGGAGAGGGAATCACATTTTACTTTGTCTCCACAATTTTATTGGAGTTTTAGTTCATTTTTGTTTAATGTAATTATTGATATATTTTGTCTCTATTTCATTTTTCTGTTCTTTTCTGKTTTTTTTATTATAAACAATTTTGTAGTATTATTCTCTATTAGCTTTGTTTGTTTTATTTCAATGCATTATTTTTTTGTTATTTGATTCATAGTGGACCCATAGTATGCAATTTTTACTTCCAATAAAATATAGGAAACTTGTAATAGTATACTTTCATKTACCCACTCTCTCTTTCCGTGCTTTTGTTATATAGTATATGTTTATATGCATAGTATAAACCGAAGAGTAAAATGTTATAAACTAGCTTAAAGAGTCTTATGCCTTTTAGGAAATCAAGAGAAGAATACATATTCACTTGCATATATTACCTATTTTTTTATTCCTTTCTAATAGCCTAGATAGTGCATGACATCTTATATTTCAGCCTGAAGAATTTTCTTTAGCATTTTGTGAATACAAAGTAGTTAGCAAGGAATTGTTTCACTTTGTGTTTACTTAAAAATGTCCTTGAAGAAAAAATTTAGTGGACATAACTTCTTAGAAAATATTTTTTATTCTCAACACTTTGAATAGTATTCCACTTTGAATGTTATTCCAGTATTATATCTCCACTATGCTATTATTCACCATTTTGTTCTTTATTTAATGTGTTGTTTTCTTTGCTCTTCTCATGAATTTTGTTGTTGTTTACTTGTGGTGGTTTGATTATGATATACCTAGGTGCAATCTTCTTTGTTTATTTTATTTGTGGTTCCCTGAGTTTCTTAAGGCTGTGATTTAACATTTTTCAGCAAAGTTGGAAAGTTGTGGATTTTTATCTACTCATTCTCTTTTTMTGTTCCTTGTTTGATTCTAGTTCTCCTTATGAATCATGAAATACATTTGTGATACATAGTTTTAAACTTTGGAAGAATGTTTGGAAATAAGGGAGGGAAGGGAAGTATGAATGAAATTCCACAATCTCTAAGAAAATTTAGTWCCTTAAATATGCATACACTATATACAATTCAGTACATTTACAGTGGAAATATTAATGTTACATTTCCTCTTTTTCTGYTTTTACAAAATCTATGCCTAGGTGCATTTCCTCCCTCTGCTATTTATGCACGAAAAGACTTGCTACAAAGATCTACCCATATCGCTACCAAGACTTTCCAAGCTCTTCGCATATTCGTAAATAATGAGCTCAACGAACTCCACATGGGACTGAAGACAGCTCAGAAGTTTCTGAAACCTGGTGGTCGCCTTGTTGCCCTTTCCTTTCATTCATTAGAGGATCGAATTGTCAAAAGGTTTTTGCTTGGGATAAGCATGACAGAAAAGTTTAACTTAAGTGTTAGACAGAAGGTAATACAAACATCCCAGTTGAGTTCATATCATGCAAATAAGGAAGGAAGCTCTATAAGAGCTCCTTTAATGTGGGAATTGATACATAAGAAAGTGCTTACTCCAGAAGATTGGGATGTACAAAATAACCCCAGAGGTCGCTCAGCCAAGCTTAGAGCAGCTATGAAATTATGAGATCTGATTTTCAATTTTTCCCTCAGTTTCTTTAATTTATTTGTCTATGTGATGAATAGGTTAATACCTCCAGCTTAAAGCATAGRACAGCCTTGAAATTGATAGTATTTAAAATTATTTTCTTCTCAAAAGAAACTGTAGGAAGTTTTAACATAACATACAAAGCTCAACTCAGAGCAGCAGCATCTCGGGGCTGGAAAAAATGTGTTTATCTCTCATTATATTTGACTTCTGWAATTCAGTTCTTTCTCTGAGTAGGAAATTTTTTTAAAAAACATTATTTTTATCTAAATATGTAAACTCCAACTGTAAAAGAGAAAGAGATTATAATCTCTCTGCATGCCCTAAATTCTGAATTTAGATATTAAAATTTATAACAGACTTTCTGTGGCTCAAATAATTAATGATAATATGGAATGAATTTTAATTTCCATATTGGTAAATAATTAATTACTGTAGCTTTCTAAAAGTAGCCTTTTTACAAGTTTTAATTTTCAAATATTATTTTAAAATGGCATTATACTTACAGATTTCACTATTGAAATTTATAGTTCATTGCTTTAAAAGGATTTTTTCAGAGTGATATGTGCTAATTTTCATAAATTCCAAAATAAACGTGTAGAATTTCCCTAACTGCCATGACAGAGAAGTGTTTCACAGAATTTATATTCAATATCAATTATATCTATTTTAACAACTCAGAATTACTATWAGTAAATAATACAAACTTGTTTGAATTCTGCATTTTTATTGAACTATTAAAAAGAATTCAGTAGAGCTATTTGAAGTAAGAAACTGTCTGATTTATTCAACATATTAAAATTAATGCTCCCTTAATGTTTCTACCTAGACATAGAAACTATAATAARGATAAAAAGTTTTTTCAGGAAAATTGCACTTGGTGGAGTATTCTATAACAAATTGATGAGATTGATTCATAATTCACATGCCATTTTTTATTAGTAAATATGCACTTCTAATTTATTCAGTTATTCAGCAAGTTCTGAACTTGACATTAGAGAAACAAACGTAAGTATAATACCCATGATCCATWGTACCTGTTCTGTGAAGCTTGTTGTCTAGTGGACAAGAATGATGTTAGTTAAATAATCACAAAAGTCAATATGAAATGGACACAGTGATAAATGTTACACAGAAGCATACAATGTAATTTAAAAGTATCTGGTAGAGATTTGACCTGTTGGAGGAAACCAGGTCTGAKAATGTGATTGATTGTGACCTGAAAGATGAACAGGAGATAATTAATCAAAGGGTATATGGAGTGGGGTGGGAGGATGGTGTTTAAAGGTACATATAAATGAGTATTCTCTTCAGTAATTCTTGAAATCATTAATTTTCTCAGTAAACTATTTCTTCAAATACAGAAAGCATTCATACTTTCCAGTATGATTACAAATACTTAATAGAAAAATCCAAGTGAATGAAATAACATCACTATATTTACCTCAGACTCATTTTATTTACCTATGTAATATTTAACTTTACTCCCCAAACTTGTTCACTGCTTTTATTTTATAGGCTTTATTTAAATCTAAACAATCCTGCAGTGAAATCAGGATTAGAAAAATATCTGGGGAATGTGCTCAAAATACAAACAAGAGAATGCACTTAGGTTAATCCCCTGAATCCTACCTGAAGAATTTTATGTTTCTCTTCATGTGTAAAATATATTTGTAAATGAAAAAGATTGACAATAATAACTTCCCATATGAGTATCTGATTAGAAAATAAAAGACCACACTCTYATATTAAAAAATGATTCACCTATTTCATTAATCATTTTTACATCCTGTATAATATGGAGAATTTTTTCATTGATGTCAAGTTAAAACTGATTGCACTGGATTGGATAGTGTTGTCCTAATATTCATCTGCTTCCTTATTTGGAAATACCATCATTTCAGATATGAGTAGTTAAGATGATGTCATACTGGAGCAGGGATGGCCTTTAATCCAATGTGACTTATGTCCTTATAAGAAGAGCAGAGACACAAGAGAAAGCYACCTGAAGGTGGAAGCAGAAATTGGAGTGATAAGTCTATAAGCTAAGGTATACTCAGGTATTGTTGGCAACCACTAGAAGATAAGAGAAAAGCAAAAAACAAATTCTCCCTCAGAATCTCCAGCAAGAACCTACCCTGCAGACATCTTGGTTTGGGGGCTTCTAGCCTCTAAAACAGTTAAAAATACATTTCTACTGTTTTAAGCTACCCAGTTTCTGGTAATCTGTTACAGCAAAACCTAAGAAACTAATACTCTGACAAATCAAAATCTTGAGTAATATGATGAGAAAAATACTTCTCCAATACACACCAAATTGGTTTCAAAATGTTTTAGTGCAAAATATATTAAATGTTTTGTTATTAGGCTTTGTTGTAAAATACATAATAAAMTATGTGAATGAGTTTTAAATGGTTAATTATGGAGGATGGCTTTGGGAAATTCAAACAATACACAGAGAAAATAAAAATTGATTATTAGGATCAATATGCAACACTTTTCTAATAAAATATTTCAATCTCTATATTGACTGCTTTGTATGAATCATTTTAACTTAGCATTGATATCATGTAGTGTATCCCTTATTTTTTGTTAATCATTTAAAAAATGAAATTTAACAGCTAATTTTATCTCTACTTATTCACTTTGTTTTAAAATTTGCATATTAGTGACATTCTCTCCAAAGTCTCTAGGATTTTTTGAAAGGTATTAATCATATCTGTATGTCTTATCTGATATTTCATGTAATATATGTATAGTTTTGCTTACATTTATTTGTATTGAAGTATTTCTTATAACTACTAGTGTATAAGAGAATACCAGTATGCCAACTGTTTTTGAAATTAAAGATTATAACTTCTTTAATTAAATTAAAGATTATAACTTCTTTAATCTTTATAGAATATTTTATATTCTATGTATATTTTAAATTTCATTATATAGTATTTCTATAGTTTAAAAAATTCTAATTTTTATTTTTATTTATTTATTCATTTATTTAGATAGAGATTGACCTGGGGTGTATAACCACTGAGYCACATTCCCATCCCTTTTTTAAATTTTGAGTCAGGGTCTTGCTCAGTTGCTTAGAGCCTCACTTAGTTGCTGAGGCTGCCCTTGAACTTTCRATCCTTCTGCCTTAGCCTCCCAACCAGGTTACAGGCATGCGCCACTACACCTGGCTAATTCTTGTTTTAAAATTAGAAGTGTTTATGATTCCATTTTTCAGACTTTAAAAGACAATTTTAATTTTATTTGAGATTTCTCATCCAAAAAGTATGAGACAATTCTTAATGGAATGTAATTCTTAACCATACACACATGCACATACATGCTCACACACACATTTATATTCATTCAGTAAACATATAGGAAAGAATAACTGTTGAAGGAGAATTTTTTAAAAATATACCTCTTGCCTAGTCTTCTCATGCTCCCCCTYCCTACCCCACTATGAATCAGCCTCCTTATATCAGAGAAAACATACGGCATTTGGTTTTTTGGAATTGGTAACTTCACTTAGCATTATCTTCTCTAACTGAATAGATGAACTCTAGATAGGGCAGAGCAGTGGGAAGAGAAGGGGGGGCTTGGGTTTAGAAATGATGGTGGAATGTGATGGACATTATTATCCAAAGTACATGTATGAAAACACGAATTAGTKTGAATGTACTGTGTATACAACCAGAAATATGGAAAATTATGCTCTATATGTGTAATAAGAATTGTAATRCATCCCACTGTCGTATATAAATTTAAAAAATTAATTTTTAAAAAGGCAGCAACCTGAGGAAGCACTGATGTTGAAATTTCAAATTTAACAAGGATTTTAAGCCTGATAACAATTCTTCTATTTTCTCTCAAGAGCTTAACTAGATTTTTAAATAGCATTCTTTTCAAAATTCAAGCAGCACTGTATGATGTCGAAATACAGTGTGAAAAAGAGAAAATATGGAAAAGGTTATGACCAATTTGGCTATTAGTTTATTTGGTAGAATATCTATGTTGAGGTTATTTGTGATGCTTGCAAACAATAGCCTGAATATTTTTGCATATTGTTTGGAAACAAAAATTGTAAAAGTTGAGTTTGATACATAAATGTTAAGAATTCTAAACATGAGGTCATGAAACCAGTTTTGTCAATTTTGATGCTATAAAAAATATAGTTAAACTACTTCTGCATTTTAATAAACATTCAGAACAAAAACTCAAAAGAAATTTTARAATTTTAAAAAATAAAAATATACCTCTCTCTTCTTTTTATATTCCTTCTCCTCCTTACCTTTCTGTATTCACATTACTTGTGAGTTTCTTGTGCCAATTGAGATGATATTAGTTTACATTTCAACTTTACTTTGGAAAAAGAAATATTAGTAAAATTGGCATATTCTCTGGCAAACTAAGCCCTACATGTTATAATCTTTGTAATGGATAAAAATTCACTAAGAATTGCTTCTGGTTAAAATTCTGTAAATTTTGGCCTGCCATGGTGKTGCATGCCTATAATCCCAGCAGTTTGGGAGGCAAAAGGACTGTAAGTTCAAAGCCAGTATCAGCAATTTAGTGAGGCCCTAAGCAACTCAACAAGACCCCTTTCTAAATAAAATATAAAAAATGAGAGGAATGTGGCTCAGTGGTTGAGTGCCCCTGGGTTCAGTCCTTGGTACAAGAGAGAAAAGAAAAATTCTGAATTTCCTTTAATGTAGTTATTTTKCTATTCAGTTTTTATAGTTGCTACTACTTTCTAATAGATATTTTTGTATAGCAGCATTCTATTAGAAAGGGATAAGCATTAAAATATAAAGGAAATTTTATGCAAAGCTTGAAAAATATAAATTTAATGACAGAAAATCTGATATATTTTTCTCAGAACCACATACCATATGTTTGATGTCGAATGGAGCATGGTTTATAAAAATCAGCACCATATTCTAAAGAGGCTGGGTTGTATAACAAGCATAACTATTTTTATATTATTTTCTCAAATTTCATCTGCTAATAGCTACTATTTCCAGCTAATGTTTGGTAACATACAGGATGATCTGCAGGAATGCTAACAGAACATTTAAGTATAAATTATTTTTTAAAAGTATAGTTGCAGCATTCATTTTCAGAAACATTAAAAATTCAATAGAATTAATTCTGCAAGATACAACGGTCATAGCTTATGATACCTATCATAAAATTCATCACACTTTTTGGCTACCTCACTTTCTTCTCTAACTATACACCCAGATTATTAGATTAAATAAATAAATAATATAATATAATATAATGCTCTGGTATGCAAAGTAGTAGATTGCCTCTTTGGTAACAGTGCATCTCCTTAAGCAATGTTTYACCTTAATATCTGAACTGTTGTTTACCATTAGCAGTTGTCCTGTTATATCATTGCTCAAATAGTTGTATACAAAGCTGCAATCAAACAAGAGGACATGAGTTATTTCAATAATTGTTTCTATTCCTTACATTCCATCTTATGCTTTGGTCAGTAATACTTTTCTGCCTTACATAGGTAAGTTGTGTTGCCAGACAAATAATATCAGTCCTAACTCTTTCACAAGGAAAAAATAATCCAACTTACAGGTGCTAAATTCAGGAGCATTGTAAATAACACTATTGGCTATTGAGTCAGAAAAACAAAAGTTTGAATTCTAACTCGGCATGCATTTTTAGCAAAATATATGAATTTGAGCATGCTATTTATCTTGAACTATCATTTATTTATTTATTTCATTTATTGAAAACAAGGAAAGTATGGTCCTTTTTAGTGAAGTTACTATGAATTAAATATAAAATAATAAATAWGCATGAAGTGAAAATTATAAGGATAAAAATGGCATGTAAAATATTTACCACTATTCTAGACACATATTAATTACTCAGTGATGCTATTATTTTGCTGAACACTGTGATTAAGGATGCGTATTCTTCATTTTGGTAGTTTTAAGTGCATCTCTAATAGCAACTGATTTATAGTTAGTTTTATAATTTGGAATTTTACTCCTAATATTTATTTACCACCCTCATTGTTTGTTGTACCTTGACAGGGTATATAAAACACAAGGCATTGCTCTTGTGGAATTTCCATGTATAAGAAAACAAGATGATATCTTTTTTAAAAAATTTAAGTTATTTGACATTCATTTAGGTTGGAGAAACTATTTATCTTTCTATGATTCTTTATCAGTAAGTAGCAAGTCTATATAGTTGTTATAGTACAATTCTCCAACAAAATACATTTTTAGAAGAGAAAGGAAATAAATAATTTTCAAAATATTAAAGACAAGATGATTATAGAAGTATGAAAAATCTACTTCTCTAAAACCAATGATAATAGGCTTAAGGACTAAAATGTACATGTTACAAGTCTTAAAAGGAAAACAACTGGTGAAAGGTGAAGAAACTAAGGATACTTCAAGTGAGCTGATAATCTTTCCTTTAAAGACTATAGGAATAGATATTATCAGAACTGGATCCTTATAATTTCACCCCTCACCTTCATCTCAGCATTTATAAATCTCTTCCTTGGTCCCTAATTTATATTCCTGTTTCAGAAGAAAGTTTATGTCCTTGCTTTTTCTCCCTACCCTATCTTCTCCAGGACAGTTTGATCCATTTTGTTTGCCTCTCTATTCTTCAATCCTTTCTCTGCTGGTGTTTTTCCTTCACCTACAAACATACTTAAAAGGGCTCTGTTCTAAATACAAACAATAGCAACTAAATATCTACTTGACTGGTTTKCTTACCAAAATATCAACCATTTTCTGTTTTCTTGCATATTTGATTTCTTCAGAGAGCCTACACTACTTCATCATCTATGTTTAGTTTATTCAATTCTTATGTATTCTCTATAGAAACTGTTCTCTTAAGAATCAGTGTTGGCCTCTTGTTCCAGACTCAAAAGACCAATCACCATCGTGAGCTATTTGTTCTCTATAGTATTTGAGAGTGTTCATCTATTTCCCCATAAAAATTTTATTTCCATTTCATTCTCCAAAATCACTCCTTTTTGGGGTCTTTCTCCCTAACACTGTCATATGTTCACTGGCTTCTCTTCCTCTTTCTGTTCCATCAAGGCAGACTGTAGTGAATTATTTAAAGAGTGTTAAGTAGTTCTAGGATGTTTTTCAGTAGAAGTAATATTGTAAAATCACTCCATAATCATCATGGAGTTGGATGAGAGATGAGTTTCTTATCAAGATAATAGAGTGGGACTGGGGTTTCAGTTCTGTGTCATCGTGTTTGCCTACCACCTGTGAGGCAMTGGGTTCGATCCTTAGCATCACATAAAAATAAAGTAAAGGCATTCTGTCCATCTATAACTACTAAAACAAATTTTTAAAAAAGATAACAGAGTGGAACAGAGATTGAAGTTTCCTGGAATAGGAAAACATCATTATTTTGTAGATATTAAAATAAGAAAAAGGAGTTCAAGTTGACATCAAATTAAGTATTCAAATTACATATAATTTGAATCAACTATCCCACAAAGAACAGCATGTACAAAACATTTTTATTTGAAATCTAAGTGCAAGG